AAATAGATACTAGACATGCATCGTGCTTTATGGATTATAGATTTGGAAATAAAGTAATTTCATCCCTACCATGGGGTTTTTAATAAAACGGGTTCATATTATGGGGAAGTATGAATTTTAACAGATGTTTGATGACTTAAGTCCAGTTGGAGATGTAAGAGGGTGTTCCACCCATCGATGTATATAAGGTTATATACATCGATGGTTCCACCCACCGCTGTTTACCGCGTGAACACGGTCCTACAAAAAATAACCTCGTGACATTATTAAAGTGTGGATCGAGTTGAAATCAACTGTAAAATACTCTCAAGAATCCAAACTATGCACTGGATGAACTAAAACTTCTTAATTATTTATTCAAGTATTTACATACCTAATAATTTTTAATATCCGTATATTAGTATTTTTCACACGTGATTTTAACTTCTAAATAATAGTTAAAAATTAATTTTCCCCGTAAATTTCAAGCTCCGATATGTTATGAGCACGAAAAGCACTCACTCATTGGAAACAAATTAGTTTTAGAATGTTGAGAGCTTGTACAATAGAGGGGTTTCAATCCCGAACTTTTCGATCCATATAATCCGCCATCTTGTATTAGATTTTCAATAATTTGAAATAAAATTCACCAACATTACCAAGGGATTATAAAATTTTCATGTTACTTTGATAAAACTGTATGATTGAACCACATTCAGGCTGCCGGGTAGAACCTTCTTACAGTGATGGCAATTATTTTCCGAAAATAATAATGGTTCACAATAATTTACACTTACTTAACATAAGTATAAAAAAGATTCAATATTTTGTTATAAAGGTTGTTTTAGTAGTAAATTTAGTTATAGGGTGTAACTGCATCGGTTTACACAGTTTATGGTGTTCTTCATTTCAACATGTAGAACCCTAGACTGTACTGTAGAGCAGAGAGCAGCAGACGACATGAGCAGCAGACAGCTGTGATCACTGATCAGCTCCAGCTGAGTGCTGAGAACCGTTATCTCTGGTCTCCGTCTCCGGTCTCGGGTCAATGTCTTTACATCATATCCTTCCTCAGAGTGATCAGTCGTCATCTGTCCTGTCATGTATCCTATCTGAGGTCCCGGGTTCAAATCCCACCAAATCACCAATGGTGGGATTTTTAATGTTTAATGTAATTTTGATTTTTAATGTTGATTTCCCTATTAAATAACAGAAAAATCTGATTTTCTCAAAAATGCCCGAACGATTTTGATAAACATTTTGTATGTTTTAGCCCTTTGAAATCTGAACAAAATGGTACAAATCCCATTTCCGTAAAAAATACGGTTCAAAAGTTATAAATTATATTATTTCCCCATAAAAACCATATAAAAAAACGAAAAATAGGGTTTTTGAAAAAAAAAAAACGGTTTTGATTTAACTTAGTATGTTATGGTCCTAAAAACGTTGAAAGTTTTTTTCATTATTTAGAACTTTTGATTTTTTATGGGGGATTTCCCCATAAAATAACAAAAAAATATGATTTTCTCAAAAATAGCCTGAACAATTTTCTTTAAAGTTTAGTATGTTATAGTCCTTTAAATTCTGAACAAAATGGTACAAATTCGGATTTTTGGAGAAAAGCTGGTTTTGATAAAAATAAAATATGTTATGGTCTTTTATAATTCTAATAGTACAACACCCTATTGCTGTAACAATTACGGCTCAAAAGCAACTTAGTACAATTAAGCAACAATTATTGCAACTTTTGTGATTTTTAACTATAAAATGTCATATTTACTCTCAGCACCTCTTACCGATAAAGGTTGTTGACAAGCTTATGGGAGAAAGTATGTGTCAGAATGCTGATACCGTTTATTTGAATTTTATCTATAACCATTAGGCGCATGATAAAACTTCAGTATACTAAATTATTTGTTTTTTTAAGTTCTGCAAAATGGTTTCTAAAGAATTTGCAGAATTTTATGTTATTTTTATGGTCAAAAATGGGAAAAACCCATTTTTACCCCATAAACCCCCGTTTCCATAGTTTGATCATGCTGGTTCACAAACTTGTTCGAATAAATGTAGGTTTACACGTTTGTACCAAATTTCATCAATATATATGAATACTGTATATATGAATTTGAACGTATGGTGTTTTTAGCCTCTGGGAACATCAAAACGAAAAAATAAATCGGTCCTGGGATCAGGTCTTACCATGAGACCGAGACCTACGGTAATAGCTTATTCCCTATATGGGAAATTCGCTAAAAGTTATGGGAAGAGGTATTTGACGCCAGGGTATTAAAAATTGGTCAAATCTATCAACACTCATTCGTAGGCCTACATGAAAAACTTGTTCGGATATTTCCTCAATCCAAGTATAAGAGGTAAAACTGGCCTTTCAAGGTTCTCGGACTAAATTGGATGCACCCAGTATTTTCTCTTACATTTTCTTGAACGAAATCTTATCAGTAACACACATATGGCAGCGGTTTCTATCATAAACATTCTTTTGACACTCGAAAGACGACTTAACAGCATGTTAACAGTCTTGACGACTTTTCGATTATCCACCCGACTTCAGCCAGACAGTTGGCCAACAGTCTGCCGACAAAAAGTCTCTCGTGTGCGGTAGGCCAGTGACAGTAAAAAATTGGGCATATTTACAAGAAAAAAAATTAGTTAAAAAAATGTAAAAACCACACTTGGTTCACATGATCTAATCTTACTGGTTTTCTAACGCCCTGTTTACACGCTACGATAAATATCAGCGATCTGATGGGTACCAACCAAACCAAATCGTTACAATAATCAGAGCTTGTGGACGAAAGATATATCGGGGTTGGACAGTTCATGAAATTTTGGATTTTTCTGGCAATGACTGGCCACTATATCGTGGTTAGAGCAACAGGTTGGAACGTGTAGACAGCGCTTCAACTTATCGCTGCGATTATCTGCCCAAAACCCTGTTCTATTGTGCCCTCTTCGTAGTTCTCTCGGCCAGTAGCCTCAACCGGTATATAGCCTCGTGACATATGACAGCCTTCTGCCATTCTCATATAGTTGGGCCAGTCGTTGGGTTCATCTCTCAACTCTCTCAGTAGTCTCACATTCAAAAATCTTTTTTCTCTTGAGAAGCCATGAACTTACTTCTACTACTTACTTCTTGGTTTGCGTCGTCTCTTTCTCGCTACTTTTGTCAAACATATTACATACAGGGACCACAACATACATATCTCTTCCATGTTGATCACAAATGAGAAAAGACCAACAAATTGTAAAGGAAGTTGGGGCAAAAAATCATTGCGTATAGACATAACATCAATGTCCAATTTATCGCAACAATTTGTTGGTGCAGTCAGATCACTGCGATATATCATAGCGCGTAGACGGGCCTTAACTCATTCTAGTGTAGCCAGCACAACACATTCATATCAAATAATGGACCTTAATTGCTTAAGATATTGTGTTTACAGACACACACAAATGAGTACAGTACACATTTTTAATTTGTAAAGAGTTACCTATATAGGCTATAAAGATATATCCATTGGGGGATATATATCTATAGGCCTACATATATTTTTACAAATAGTGTTTTGGCCTCTGATGTGGACATCGAAATGACAAAGTAAATTGGTCCCGGGTATAGATCCTACTGTACCACCTAAGGTAATACCTCCTTCCCTAAAGGAGAAATTTGTTAAAATGGTCCTGGGTGTAAGTCTTACCATGAGAAGAAGTACGTTTCTCTATTGTACAGGGTGAATAAAAAGTCAAGACCCCCCCTTCTAATATTTTTCCAAGTAAATATACAGAGATATCCTTTTGGTGGTCAAGCAATCTTAGCAGGAAGTTCCATTTTATCATTTTGAATTTTTGAGTGTCCCCAAAAAGGGGGATTTGGGGGGCAACTCAAATATTTTAAATGTAAACCCCCTTCAAGTGACACCTCATTTTGAAGTGTTTACAAAAACTTATAGAATGGTGAAAACTAGAGGTCGCTATCTCTTCTCTATCCAAAATGGTAGCCCGTCAAATGTTGTGGAAAATCAATGGTAAAATTTTTAATATTGGCTGTCATTTTGGACAGAGAAGAGATAGCGAGCTCTGGTTTTCACCATTCTTTAAGTTTGTTTAAACACTTCAAAATGAGGTGTCACTTGATAGGGGTTTCTATTGAAACATTTTTAGTTGTCCCCCGAATCCCCCCTTTTGGGGGACACTCAAAAATTTTAAATGTAAACCCCCTTCAAATGTGACACCTCATTTTGAAGTGTTTACAAAAACTTAAAGAATGGTGAAAACTAGAGGTCGCTATCTCTTCTCTATCCAAAATGGCAGCCAATATCAACAATTTTACCATTGATTTTCCACAACATTTGACGGGCTACCATTTTGGATAGCGACCTCTAACTTTCACCATTCTTTAAGTTTTTGTAAACACTTCAAAATGAGCTGTCACTTGAAGGGGGTTTACATTTAAAATATTTGAGTTGCCCCCCAAATCCCCCCTTTTGGGGGGACACTCAAAAATTACAAAATGATAAAATGAAACTTCCTGCTAAGATTGCTCGACCACCAAAAGGATAACTCTGTATATTTACTTGGAAAAATAATAGAGGGGGGGGGGGGGTCTTGACTTTTTATTCACCAGCTGTATAATTGCTTATATGGGAAATTTGCTGAAAACTAATTTTTTTAAAAAGGTTGGCGGCATCTTTACTCACCAATTGCCCATCCACGTAGGCTATCCATATTGGCATATTGAATCCATTCAGGCCTGTGCGTGGAATGTATCCAGCACAGCAAGGGATGAGTCTGTACAGTACACGGGTGAACTTCTAATGATTAAAAGCAAAGTCAGGTACCAGGATTTGAACCTACAACATCAATTGGGCCTTGGGTCTAAAGTCCGTAGCGCTACCGACTGAGCCACTGATCCCCTAAGTCATAGTAGACTTTTTTATTTTACACTGTACTTAATACAATACACCATTAACTCTAGCCAGGATCTGAAATAAGTGTAGCCTATAAAGTTTATGAGGTTGATTTATTTGTTCCGTCAGGTAACTGTGTGACACTCTCGCCAGGCTTGGTGATGAGAGACATGGCTTCTAGGTATGGAGGTGACAGAGGCGCCTGGGCAGGAGCAGTGTATTGGTACGGCTTACCATCCAGCTGCAAAACAAACATTATGTTTTGTCATCAACTTCTCTGACAATTTATTGTATAATATGAAGCAACATACAGGACGCCTAAAGGCTGTTGATAGCAATTTAATTTTTAACCCTCCGAGTGTTATTTGTCGATGCTTCGACACATAACACACTTTGTGTAGTGTTTTGTGTCGATGCATCGACTCACAAACACTGTTTACGGCGAAGGCTCTATGACAGACAAAATCGGATTGAACTGGATCGAGTTAGGTATCGTTTTATTTGGCAGATTCAGAGCTTTCTCCGGAGGTCTGTCTCTAAGCGCTTTTCATTTTAGTTCCGAAAATATTGTAGCAGACAGCTGACGTGCGTATTTGTAAACAGCTTGGTTAACCTCGCACCGATGACTGATGTGTTTTATGACGTTTATCATTGTTTTAGTGTTAAAAATCAAAAGTAGTGATATACGTGGTGCATTATAAGAAGATTTAAGTGATTTTGAAGGGCTCGTTGATGATCCTGAAGAAGTGGGTAGTGATATTGATGTAAATTATCTGCCAGATTCCTAGCTATGGTTAGGCTATGCATTCTTAGCTAAACGCTATGTACTGAAATCTGTTTTTTGCCCATAACTTATTTATTTGCAAATCTACTTCCTTATATTATTATATATTTGTAATCCTCATAAAATTTAGAACAAAGTGGCTATTTTCAAATATTTATAGGCCTATAATTTATACAATTTCATTGAGCGTAAACTTATTTTTTTTTTTTTGAAAATTTTGCAAAATATTTTTTTTACCTAAAAATTTGTTTTGAAACAAATGTTCCTTATGTTTTATGTATAATATTGAAGCCCATGATTTTCCAAACAAAATGGTATATAGAACAGTATAATTAACATTGTTTTCAAGCTTCTCAGATCCGTTTTAATAAAACCTTGCAAATGAGCAAAAAATAGGCAGACATTAAGGCCAAAACAAGGGACACTCGGAGGGTTAAAACGTTTTTACTAGCTCGCTTTTTTGTCTGTTCAGTACAAATTTTGCAATCGATTTTAAACCAACTTCCCGGGGAGCTTGAAACTTGAAAATTGAAATATAGCTCACAAATGGATGACAATGTGTACTTAATTATTATTTAATCATTTTATTTTTGTATTTCGCTTGGTCTACACAAGGCCACACTAAAAAAACAGGCCGTAATGCTCGTCCAGCATGACGTCACGATAGAAGACGGCAATGACGTAATTTTGCCGTTTGTGATCAGCTGCTTGTTTTAATCTTTCATTGGAAAATAAATAAATAAGTACTTATACGTCATAGCCGTCTTCTATCGTGACGTCATGCTTGGCGAGCATTACGGCCTGTTTTTTTAGTGTGGCCTTGGTCTACACCACATGGGCTTCCAAATGTTTAAGTTTAATGTTTACAATTTGGGGGATGTAAATATATCAATTGAAGTCAGCTGTAAATACTTTAATTTGACAGTTTGTTTAAAGAGCAGAGGTTAAGAGGTACAGGTTCTGCTCTCGAGAGATTCTTAAGTTTTATGATTATGAGAATAGTAGCAACAACATGTGATTACAGTTAAAAAGGTTTGATTATGTAAGCCTTAAAAAATAGATTTAAAATACTTACACATTTAAGACTAAAAAGTATAAAATAATTTATAAATAAAAAAAACTTTTTAAAATGCCACCGTTTTTAAACACACTAAAAAGTAGAAAATCATGTATAAATTTGTGGAGAGAGAATAAAAACTTGTAATATTAAAAACGAAAAACGTGGGGCGCATGCAATAGATAATAATAGTAAATTAGCTCAGTATTTTGACTTTTGAATGGTGATTTTGTTTTATACAGTCGGGATAGTAAAAGCTTGGCTTGAGCTCGATTTCCTGACTAGGTGCTTGATCACTCGAGCTTATAGGCTAGGCTAGTCTTACTTCGGAAATTGCGCACCTCAAATTTTGGTTATTAATACCAAAGTGGAAGGCAATATTTTAAAAATATTTTTTTCCTATTCGGTTAAAAAATGGCAAAACAAAAATAAATAAATGATAGGTGCAGTGGGGCAAGAGGGTAGTGGGGGTATGTGGGCCTTAATAAAAAAAAAATCTAAACCTAATTGAATTTCAATGAAAATCTTGTATTATGCTTAGTTTCCTAAAAGCAATACCAAACATCAGCAAAAAAGGATACTTGGTCCATGTCTTATATTTCTTAATTTTTTTGTTCTAGACTATAAGACAAAATTTCCAATAATTAACCTTCCAGAGGCCGCATCACGGAAGTAACCTCCAGGGATGTTTTATTTTTTGGGATTATATTATTTTGAGTGGTGTCGGTAGTTCTAGAATCGAGTGAAGGTCAAAACTCACCCCTACTATTTTATATTTGTTAGTTTTGTTCAGTTTTGTAAGAGGCTCTGGAGGTAGCTTCTGTGTGCGTTCTGCCGATTCTTGTACAGCCTGGAGGCAACTTCTTTGTGCGACCTCTAGTTTAGTGTGTATTTACGTTGATTATTGCGTGTAAATAATCATCTTTTACAATTCATGACATTATTTAGTAAATATATAGTTTTGAAAAGATGAGTGAATAAGTTAAATCTCTAATCTCTAATCTGTTCACTCTTAGCCAGTGCTGAAAGGGAGATTCACGAACGACGTATGTACAGAGACATTTAGTATTAAGATACCCATTATGTTACATTACTTAAAACATCAGGTATTGTGAATGTTAACATCTAGAACCACATTATAGGACATTGTGGTAAAATTTAAATTAACTTCTTGAATATATTCTTGTAAAAGATTTCTTCATATACTTTTATGTTAGAACAATTGATAGAATAATAGTTTAATTTTATATTTATAAAATATATTTAAGTTATTTTATAATTAAGAGTTCACTAAACACAATTTTGATGTTTAAAATTAAAAATAAAACTTAATTTGTGCACTAAAATACAAATTTTACTTCATAAATGTTTTTTTTTATTGACCGGGAAGTAACTTCAGGTGCACCCTCTCCTGTTTTGAAAACCAATGCGCCTCTGAAAGGTTAACATTGATTTTGCATAAATTAGGACTCTAGTACCCAACTTGCACTGTAATTGCCGTGATGATAGGGTATGTGGGTTTTATAATTTATTGGTAAGTGCATCTTGATCACACATATTTTGTGGTCTTGGTGCAATATTTTTGTAAATATGAAAATACATTTTGTTGGCCGAATTGTTGGAATAGGCCTTTTTGGAAATTCTTTCCTAATCAAATTTAAAAGGAATAAGAACAAAAAACTCATTACACTGCCTTTGTTTGGCTAGAAGGAGAAGATGATTAAAAGTGTGTTTTTTTATGATTTTCAAGATTATTTTATGTTTGAGCATTATTACCTACTAGCAGAGTACCCGTTCTTCGTACGGGGTTGGCGTATAAGCAAGGCCCCACTAGAAAAACAGGCCATACTGCAGCACAGACAGCGCAACACTACGTCACAGTGGTGGATAGTTGTACCATTAATATCTTACCATTAATATCTTACAAAGAGCCAGCTTGCTTATTATTTACCTAAAACATATGGGAATGGCAAAGGCAATGAATTCATCAATGGAATCTATCCACTAGTGTGACATCATGGATCCTGCAGCATGGCCTGTTTTTCTAGTGGGGCCTTGGTATAAGTATAAAATGCTTATTGCAGTTATACTCTAGCTTTGCGTTTGCAATGGGGGAGGCATGAGAGAATTTGTTTCTTTATATTTACGGTATGCTATAGTATTACAGATATAGTATAGTATTACACATCTACCAAATACAATTTTTACAATCAACCTCATAGATTCAGAGGGAATTGAAGGGAATTTATTGTAGTTTTAGAATATGTAATAATATTGTATCCCATTTAATTGTCAATTGCCAAAAACAGCTGTTTATCATCTAGTCAGGTGACCAAAACATTCCACCACCAAAATATATTTTGAACTCTCTAGTATTTCAAACTATGTTTCTCGCTAAATAATACTCGCTCAATAATGTTTTATACATGAAAATAAATCCTCAGAATCTCATCTTTCTAATGGTATAAGATTGATAGCGATTCAATCCGTTGGGGAAGGAATTAATGCGCTGCCTGCAGGACTCTTGGGCAGCAATTAATTTTACCGAAATTTGTAGACTTCTACTCTAAGTGTTATGAAAATAAAACCTTAGGGAATAAATTAATAATTCTTTTACTATTTTGTTCACAGTGAAATTGTCTAAAAAAAGTCGTAATTTGATAATCAAAACATAAAATAATAAAATAATTAAATAAAAAAATCATAAAAAATAAAAAAAAATTTACAATTTTTCAAAAGTAAACTTTATTTACAAATCCCAAGGTCAATCCAGACATCAAATGGCACTATTGTTATAAAGTTTAATCGATTTCCTACTTAGAAAATCACAAGTTGTTTATTTTTATAAGTAGGCCTAGTTACATTGAAAAAAATGTTTGTTTTACCTTACACACAGCTGATTTCGGGTGACATCTGGTTTCCATGGCAACACAACTTTGTTTGTTATTCGCAAAAATAAATGGGACAATATACAAAACAAGAAGCAAGATATTTATAAACATCAGAAAAGTAAGAAGAAACAAAAAGGTAATAATAATTAAATACGTGCGGCACTCGTAAATCAGCCGCTGGGCCTGCAGCAGCTGCACGAGTAACGCTTGTAAGTTGGCGCCAATGGGTTAAAACGATTTTCATAATTTAACGATAGAAAAGCCCGACCCATGTCGTCTCGGTCGATAATCGACCAGCGCCACTGAGGACTCGCGTTTTAGTGGTCGATAATCGACCAGCGCCAGATCTAGGGTTAATCTCCCCCTGCCCAAGGAAAGTTAAAGGACAGAACCAGGTTCACAGAAGAATTTTGTAAAATAATTCAACCCAATTGGCTTAGTATTTTTTCACTCACCCGTAACAAACACTCATACATACATATGGAAACCACATATACAACATATACAACAGATTAAATTACCATGTTGTCTTGAAAAGGAACTAAACTCAATGAGAATAACCACAGTTAATACACATTGTTGTCTCTCACCTCCAGACTGTAGTTGGTGTCAGCGTCATAGCACTCATAGCCACTGAGGTCTCCACAGGCTATGAAGGGTATGATCAGCCTGTCTATACCCTCCAGCTGGGACCAGTCACAGTCTGTGTTGTCCAGTAGAGGGTTGGTCATGGTAGGAGTGAACCCTACAGGTGGCCTATAGTCTTGGCAGACGACAAACGCTTCTGCAAAACAAAAATATCTTCATATGCAGAGCATTATTGCGGAGTTTCTAAGCTATAGTCATCTTTTCCATACATGCTGTTTTTATAAATCCCATACAAATTACAAGTAGGCCTATAGAGATGAGAGATGCATTGTTTTCGGACACAAGGTGGCAGCCCTGCTTCCTTTACTTAATTACAGATTAGCTGATCGTGATGAGTATTGCTGCATGGTTGGTTTAGTGATATTTGGAATTTACCTAATGTAAATAAGACTCAACATTGGGTTTCACAAGTTCTAAGATAAGGCCTAGGTATTATAGAATAATTAATTTAATGAAATAAGGAATTGTATGTCAAGAGAGGTTTTAAATTATGTTTTCAGGTACAGTATCTAATAAATCAACAATAGGCTATGAAAAATGTAAAATGATGATTAATTTTAAACTTAGTTTTTCCAATGAATATACATGAATCCTACAATCTAAAACAAGCGCATATACGGGCAAACTTTTTTTTTCTGTAAGAGGATTTTTGATTTTTTCTTTGATATGGGGTATTTGGCCATGAGAATTCAATTGGAGTTGGTGACAAGGATGAGAAAAAATCCAGTTTCTACCCTACAGGCCTTGAAAGTGCCCATGTTATCGCGAATACCTTTTTGTAGCTGAAGTTAACAAAAACAACTCATACAGATTATTTTTACCGTCATCATTTTGATTTACGTGTAAACAAAAATAATTGTATTGGTTATTTTGGACTAAACATTTTAAAGAATAGTTATATTCAGTTTGGTTTTAAGTTTTAATACATATTACTGTTATTAATGTTTTCAAGGTTAATTTACAAGATTAAGAATACTAGGGTTGCTTTCAGAGAGGTGAAAGCCAGTTGAGCGGAACAAACGTGATTTGATATTTGTATAAGTAACTAAATGTAAAAAAGTCAATAGATGTATTAATGCTTGTTTTATTGATTAATTAAAATTATAATAATTCAAATTTGTTTTTACTACATCTTGTTATTCAGACACCTCTTCCAGAAGTGTGTTATGGTAGTTTTGACCAGGAAAATATTACAGTAGTTGGAATCTGATATTAACATCCAAAAAGGGCATTAAAGTATAAAAAAGAGAAAGGAAATTTAACATTCAAATTCAACTGTAGCCTACAACAAAAACATTGGTCTTCATTTTTCACCCTTACAATCGGTTAAAGTATTTAAGTATAAAAAACAGTAACTATTTAAAAAATGAGTATTAAAGTAATAAAGTATAACATCAGGAGGGGAAATTTGACATTTAAATTCAACTGTGCAACATAAACATTGGTCTTCATTTCAACCCTTTCAATCGGTTAAACACAGCTTTCTTTGCTGAAAATAATTTATGATTGTTAATAACAAGTATTCTTGATATGATTGTAATGTAACTGGAATGTAGGTCTTCTACCATTATTGACCTCACAAATGTAAATAAATCCAATTCATATAAAATAGCCTTTCTAAATGTACAATGTCTAAGGATTAAATTCAATTTGATGCCAGTCTTCTGCTCTGAGTCATATCTTAACATCCTATGTATAAGTGAGCATTGGTTGGCGGAAGAGGAAATTGATTTTTACTCTAAATTCGAAAACTTTCAGCTAGTGGCATGCTACTGCAGAAGATTACGTCTAGGTGGAGGTGTGGCTATCTTTGCAAATGAAGACCTAGAAATAAAACCCCTTGATTTGGAAAGTTATTGTGTCGATCTAGACCTCGAAGTGACTGGCATTGAACTATTAGAAACATCAATAATAATTCTGAGCATATATCGATCTCCAAATGGCCACATTGGCAATTTCTTTGAAGGGCTGGACACCTGTCTCTCCGACTTTTCAAGTTTGAATAAAACAATAATACTGGGAGGAGATTTTAACATTGCCCTAAATTGTGACGAAGCCCACACAAGAACCTTTGCAAACATACTACGAGCACACGGCCTATTTATTACCAGCGTTGCACCGACAAGGGGAGATCGATGTCTGGACACGATTGCAACGAACCTGGACCTGTGGGACTACGAGGTTGAGGTGACTGAGCCTCTGATTGCGGACCATGGAGCAGTGATAATTAGTACATACAACAGCTTGGTGAGTAGCACTCCTATTTTCCCTGCATGGCACCTAGAGTATGCACGAAGCTTTAGATTAATTAAAGAGGATCACCTTCCACAGTTCAGAGAAAGCCTATCACAGATTGACTGGACCTGCGTCTTACAGGTTAGTGATCCTGAAGAGTCTTTTAAGCAATTTTTTAATCTAGTCAATGATAGTTTACCATCACTTCCCTTCTAAGACAGTGAGAAATTCATCCAATAGGCCTAAGTTTGCTAAGGTTAAACAGGGAAAGTAAGATGTTAAGATATGGTATACACCAGATCTGGCTAGGTATAAGAATTTAGTCTTAGCCTTAAGAGATAGATACCTATCGGCCTCCTGTCAATACAGAAAAGAACAACTTCGTCTTATGTACAGTAAAGCTAAGAACTCTTATAAACTTAAAGTCGATGAGGCCAAAAAGTTGTTCAATGTTAAACAAATTGAAACTGCTTTAAATCCCTGTAAGGCAGCTTGGTCCCTTGTAAATGAGTCCAGGGGGAAAACCAAATCCAAAACCATGTTGAGCAACGCTAGCCCGGATGAGTTTAATAGGTTCCTGCTTGATAATATCAATGAAATTGTAAATAGTATTCCAAATACAGATCTGAATCCCCTGAATAGTATAAGTCAACTGATGTCTCATGTTAGCTTGACGGAATGGAAACCAGTAGATTCTGTGTATATAGTTAATCTAGTTTCAGGGCTAAGACCTACAAGTAGTCAAGATATTTATGGAATGACAACAATAGTCCTTAAGGCACTGGTGTGTGAAATTGCATATCCCCTAGCTACGGTCATCAACAAATGCTTAAAAGTAGGGGCCTTTCCCAATATTCTAAAGGTGGCTCGTACGGTTCCCATATTCAAAAAGCTTAGATCCTTGCAACCCGTCCACCCGTCCAACTTAAACAGCTATCGGCCAATCTCGTTGATACCTGTCTTTAGTAAAGTTTTTGAGTCTGTCATTAAAGATCAGCTGGTAAATCACTTTGAATCTGGAAATCTGTTCTCAAACTTACAGCACGGGTTCAGAAGGAGCCATTCGACAACAACTGCTGTTACAGAACTGGTCAACAGAGTGCAAGCGGCTTTTGAAGCATCTGACTCGCTGGCCTTGACACTGTGCGACTTAAGCAAAGCTTTTGATTGTATATCTCACAGCATCTTGACAGGGAAACTTGAACGTTACGGGGTGGGGGGCGTTGCTCTCTTGTCCATTAAGTCCTACCTGGAAAATAGGCAGCAAGTGATATCACTTAGCGGTGCTCAGTCAAAACCTTTGCCAATCCAACATGGTGTTCCTCAGGGATCGGTACTGGGACCAATTCTATTTCTGGTCTCAATCAATGACCTTGACTTGAGTGGCTCAGCACTAAGATTTGCAGACGACACTACAATTTTGTCACTACAACACTACAACAGGTTCTACTTCTGCTCAAGCTCTCGACAACGCAGAAATTCTTTTCGAGGAAGCCAAGACATGGTTCTCAGCCAATAAATTCAAGCTGAACGAGGGTAAGACACAAAAGATCGTGTGTACGCTAACTAGACATCCTCAGATTGAAACTAAAGTTAATCTGCTTGGTTTCACTATTGACCCCAAACTGACATGGTCTGAGCATATTGAAGTTGTATGCAGAAGGTTATTGAGAGTTGTGTGTCTGCTAAGAAAGCTGTCTAAGCTGGTAACACCACAATACCTACTGGTCGTCTATCACGCCCTCTTCCATAGCGTGCTAAGCTACAGCCTGCTGCTTTGGGGGCATGCGCCTAACTGCCATGAAGTTCTTCTAGAGCAAAAGAAGGCTATCAGGATAATAACGTTTAGAAAACGATTGGACCACTGCAAGCCTCTTTTTATAGAAACCAAAATTTTAACAGTTTACACAGCCACTTTGTTCTATTATGTGCATCATATGTAAAAAACAACATTCAAAATTTTCCGACCAGAAATACAGTCCATACGTACAGAACAAGACATAATCAGGAAATATACCTTCCCTTTTGCAGGCTCTCTAAAACTAAAAATGCTTTCCCGACCATAGCGCTCAAGATTTACAACAATTTGCCCCAAGAAATTAAGAACCTTGAAACAAGGAAGTTTGACAAAGTGTTGAAGGCATGGCTAGTAGGAAGGCCACTCTATAGCCTGGATGAGTTTTTTAAAAACTAAACCGAAACTAAATTGAGGCTACATCCACCGCCATAAGTTACATGTACATATATATAAATAGTAAGATACAAGCGTATCAGTCAGTATTTTATTTTATTTTTATTAATTCTAATTGACACAACCTATCCGGCATTGCTGGTCTTGGTGAAGAAGAAGGTAATTGGGACGATTTAGAGACGGCATTTTAATACTGGCCTTAATAAAACCATTGACCATTGGATACAGAAGATTTTGATGAAAAAGCTGGCTATAAATTTAACATGGGGATGGAATGTCTAGTTGTATTGATAAACAAAGATAAAACATAGGCCTACGAAAAGTGTAGGGCTATTTTAATGCAAGACTCAAATGTAAAACACCTTTAAAAGACTAAAATGAACTGAATTATCAATCATGTATTTCAATGTGTAAAAAAGTAAAAACTGCAAAAAGACTAATTTATTGAACAATAAAATAAGATGGCTGAAATGTAGGTCTAAACATAAGTAATTTAAGTAAACATCGCATTCAGCTGATTTAAGTGAAAACAGAATAATAATAAGAAGGGAAGACATGCCTTAAATATACAATGTAGATAATATAATTAGAAATAATTAGTAGCCTACTTCTGGACAGGCCTAGACAATTGTCCATACCGTGGTTAAAAGTGTACTTCTATAAACCCAGGTAATTAATGATTTACTTATTATTACGGTTGTTACTGGACGTATGTATAGTCCGTGGCTTGGCAATCATATAACAGTATTTATATAGGTTAGGCTACTATTATCAACATTTGAAATTAGGTACTGAATTGTTACCAAATTACTGTTTCACAAAATGCAGATTCCATTTTCAGCCGAGCCATTAAAATGAGGATTTGCCAAACAATTATTAATATTACAGAATAGTATTTAATGATATACAACTTTTCACATTTCATAAATTATATGTTAGTTTTGCTATGGGCAAAGGTCCAAATCCAAATGTTCTTTTCTTTTGGTTTTATGTAGTAATTTGCTAGAATCATTGACTTTATATAAAGTCAATGCTAGAATACAGAAGATGGTTTGTTAAGACCAAATGCAAACATTTTTGAAATCGTTTCCCCGTTTAACCAACTATTCCAAAAGATAAAAATTATATGGTGCAACACAAATAAACAACTCGATCACCTACCTATAACCTACACTTTACCTCCCTAATCTAACCTTACTTCAAAACACTTAATGTAGTCACGAATACTCATAAACCCCGGCCTACCTTCTTCACATGCCTAAATTAGATCAGTGTTCAATCTGCGTTTTATTAATAAGTGTAATAACTTACTGCACCGTCGATTTAATTCAACATTATATAACCTGTGATGTATTATCGGATTAAATATCGATTTCGATGCGGTTCGATATATTGCTTATTAAATCCTGATTTCTAACATTGGTTGTTTCTACTCAGCTGGCAACACAAATAGGTTCCCAAAAAATTAGTCACTGGTCCGTATCCCTCCGCTCCTTGTTTATGCTCCGCGCATTGAGAAAGTAGTTCCATATATTTTCTCTATTTTCAGTGAATTTCGCGCCTTAAAAAAATGTTTTAACGGCATTTTAATGATTATTAAAATTATAGGAATGGTTTAAAAACATTTAAAAGAAAAGTCTAGAAAGTTCAGAAATACCTTATGATTCTCTTGTTTACATTTTTCTTGTAAACAAAAAACTGTCATATGGCAACTTTAGTCCCATAAGCCTAATGTTAAAATTTGGAAATTTTAAGATCGTATTAAATTGCATTAGCATTACCTAATTGAAATTTGTTTGTTTAAAAACCCTCTCACTATTAGTCTAAGTAATCTTGTTAAGTTTAGCTGAAATGTGTTCTGCCGTTATTGAGTGATGTTGCTTTATTTGTTGCATTGAAGTTGATCCAAAAGAAATACGCTCGCTTCGCTCGCTCCGCTCAATAACCTCAGAAGTGAATATAAGTAATCTGAAAGGGAGTAAAGCTACAATCGATCCTCAGGAAACATATTTCACCTCCTCGTCTTCACCGAGCCAGTTCCAACCAGCTCATACATCTCACCAAATGTCTCAAAACCTCGTCCATGTCACGTTTCTAAGAACAAAAGGTGAGAAATAATTTAAGGTCTTATGGCCGTGCAAAAAAAATGAACAACAGGTCGATCATCTTGAGCAGGATTGTCGACGAATCGCTGCTCAAAGTTTGGAAGAACGCCAGCGCAATGCAATTCCTCAAACCTCTAAAGTCGCCATTTCAGCTGATTTTGGATATTCACCATTGGAACCGTTAGACGTACAGTAGAGTCCCGATAGTCCGAAATGGTTGGAGCCGGGCCCATTTCGGATTACCAAATATTTTGGATTAAACGTTTTGTTTTTTTTATTTTTTGAAATTTTTTTTTCGTCTTAGGACGCAGGCATGAGCCCGGGATTGTTTTTCACATTACTTAAGACTAGACCTAGTGGCTGCAGCATTATCACTTAATAAAATCCATTTGTGATTTGGCGGACGAAAATGAAAAATGTTAATAACAAATACCCCCGCCGCAGCAAACCTGCAGACTAAGCGAATTTCCATTTGACTGAATGGATTTACACTGAAATGTCTACTTAAAAATAAAACATTTATTCCCGATTTAAATCAAATTAGTTTAACAAGTACTAGGTTTGCTGCATCAGGGAGGGTAAAACTGTTTTTTTTTGTAAAATGTTAATAGACAGTAAGAAATAAAAACATTTTCCAAATTTGATCAAAATATGTTCATAAACAAGCAAACTACAACAGTTTACTTATTCTCCATAAGAATAACATGGGAATTTTAAATTTACAACTTTTTAGAATTTTCTCCGTAACCATTAGGCGCATAATAACGCATCAATATACTAAATTATTTGTTTTTTTAAGCTCTACAAAATGATTTGGAAAGAAATTGCTAAATTTTATGTTTTTTGGGTCAAAAATGGGAAAAACCTATTTTTACCCCATAAAACCCCCCGTAAACCCCCGTTCCCATGGTCCAATCATGCTGTATCGCGAACTCGTTCGAATAAACGTAGGTTTACACGTTTATACCAAATTTCATCAAAATCGGATCATTTTTGCTCGAGTTATCGTGCTGACTGACACATATATATATATGAATTTGAACGGGTGGTGTTTTTGGCCTCTACGGACCTCAAAACGAAAAAAAAAAAATCGGTCCCGCGTCCAGGTCTTACCATGAGTACTACGGTAATAGCTTATTCCCTATATGGGAAATTCGCTAAAATGGTGAAATATTTACTAAAATACTCTACAAAAAAGGTCTATCTCGCCCGGCCGCTACAGAATACTTTGACGAGGTACAGCTAACTGTGTTAAAAGTTTAATAAAAACAAAATTTAAAAAAAATTAAAAAAATTTTAAAAAATTTAAAAACTTTTCAAAAAACTTAAAAAGTTTTTAAAATTTGTTTATAAAAAATTTATTTTTTGGTTTCGGATTAAGCGGACTTTCGGATTACTGAAGTTCGGATTATTGGGACTCCACTCATGAATGCACACGACGTGTGTCCGAACTGATCCAGGGGGTAGTTTTTTAACATCCAAACTGATCCGGAAATCTGACGGGTAGAAATTGGGGTAAAAAAAAAAATAAAAAACGCCTGCAGAAAGGCAATGTAATACCCGCAATTCAGCAGCACATTGTAGTTGCGTTTCCTTTGCAAAAGCGTTCTTATTTAATTAATTCTTTAAATGTTAATATTACATTAATTATATTATTATTTGAGAAGTTTTGTTAAGTGTAAACACTAAACAGTGTGAGGCATGTTTTACTACTATAAACAAAGCCAAAACAAGCACTATTTTATACAAATTAATATTGCTTATATTATGTGATTTCTTTTATTTTAGGATTAGTTTTACTCTATCCTAACTGATATCACCATGTTTCCTAATCGTAAGCATTTTTAATAAGTTAGGCGTAACTAATATACATTTTAATGCTGATGTTTTTTAGTACCGGTAAAAGATTTGAAATATTCTTGCCTATTATTATTATTTTTGTATTTAAACAGTCATCTAACAATGTTACAAAATCAGGTAAAGATGTTAAATGTGCGTATGAGAAGGGAAATCCCGTCTCGTCTCAAACTAAAAATCTAATCTCGTTTATTCCTAGTATTTTGTTATGCAATGGCAAATAGAAAATACTTTTATAAACAATTCAGTGTAAGCTTTACATTTTGAGTTGAATACGAATCTGCTTACCAATACTTGAGTTACGAGAGCTCCTGGGTTTTGCAAGTGTCACTCTTGGGAAGAATATTTTGAGCTGTGAGTAGAGTAGAGATACATCACGGCCTCTGAAGATCTTGGCTACAAATGTGCCTCCCTGTTTGAGGATATGAGTGGTGATGTTGAGAGCTGCCAGTAGCAGTTGTCCCTGGATGTACTCGTCAATGTCATGCAGCCCAGTCACTGAACAATAAAACTTAATCATCAATTGTCTTGGAATAAGTGAAAGCCTATTCATATATTTGTTTGGAACTATGTACTTATCAAGTGTTACGTCTTATGGGCCTAAAAATCATGCTAGTAAAAGAGATAGCAATCCACCGTCACGACTCATGATTCAAATACTAGATTTTAGTAATATTAACTTCGATTAGGTACCGGAAATATTGTATGCATTGAGGTAATCAACCACATTTTGTAACATATGCAATAGTCATATTATGGTTTTACCATTATTTTTACTCATTATTAAATAAAGTTACATATTTTAATATTTTTATAGTGTTACTCTATTTAACTGAGTGGGATGAACTGTCGCAATCCTGGAAAGTAACCGTCAATTTAGGCGGGTTTCACCTATTATTTAAAAAATAAATAAAAGATAACTATACTTAATCGCAAATAACTCAAAAAACGTTAGGTTTAGAGAAAAATTGTAATAGGTAACCAAAAATGTGTATTTATAAATGGGCTACATTTTCCTTTTGAAGCTTTTTTCTGTATCTCTAATAATAAAGAAGGTACAGCCAAAAATACAGAAATAAGCCACCATTTTTGAGGATGGCGGCCTTAGCACAGCTTAAATTTTAGGGAACTTTTAAGAGGGCTTTATCTTGTCAGTTCAAGATGGCGGCTAAACATAATAATGTTCCTGAACATGCCTCTACGGTACAAGCTCTCAACATTCTAAAACTATTTTTTTCCAATGATTGTGTGCTTGTTGTGCTCTTACTTGCAGTGGGTGGAGCAACAAAACTTTTAAGCTGTTATTTAGAAGTTAAAATCACATGAGAAAAAGACTAATTTACACATTTTCAAAATTATTTTGGAAGTACTTAAAAAAACACATACAAAGTTTCAGTTCAGCCAGTGCATAGTTTGGATCTTTGTGAATGTTTTACAGTTTGTTTCAAATTGATTAACACTTTAATAATGCAAGGAGGTTCTTTTTTGTAGGACCATGTTTATGCAAAAACAGCCGGCGGGTGGAACCCTCTTAATATTTTCAAAAGGAAGATACATCCAACATCTGTTGCAATTCCGTGCAATTCCAATTCCTTGCTTGTACAATTTTTTGTTGTTGGTCAAAACAGATTTTTACAGTAGCCTACTAATATTTAAGTGAAAATCAAATCAGGCAATTGGAAATTCGCTTAGTCTGCGGGTTTTATGCGGTCCCGTATTTAAGATCACCACTGTAAGCTATTTTTATTTACAGTCTCAGAAACTTGTCCAGTAAGTTGGCAATTCAGTTAGACAGAGTTTTGAAATATAATGCTAAATATTGACTTTATGAGGCCATGATAACTGTCAATTGGATGTACCTTAAATTAAAGGTAAATATTTCTTATTGAAATTGAAATTGTACTGCAGTGTGATTGTGATTGTAAGTATTTTAGATTAGCGAGATCCCACTGTGTGATCAAACCACAAGAAAAGTTATTAATTTTTATGATTTATAATTTATATTGCACCATATTATATTGAAGAGGTGAATATTATGTCTTAGGTTCAATTCTCTGAGGTATTGTTACCGTCAGGGGCTCCGTCACAGACCACTAGGTCAGCTGATTCACCCTTGAAGTGACCAATTATCTCCTCTGCTGTGGTCAGCTTGGTGATGTCCCCTTGTATTTGGACCACACCAGGCAGAGGAGCCATAGCTTGCAGGTCTACAGCTACGATCTTCACATCCTGGCTGTCTGGTTTACTGCAACAACGGCAATGGTTGGCAAACGGGTTATGTAGGTTTGTTTTACCTATATTGTAGTACATTCAAAGAACAGTTTTGGATGCAGAATCAGCTCGATCTTTGTCAGTAAGAAAGCGTTTACATAATATTCATCCTTCATTTTTATTGTTCTTAAATGTTATCGTTAACGTGGTCTAATTGGGTCGGTATAACCAGGCTGTATAGGGTGACATGTCGACCTGATCAGGCTGACACCCTGGAATGCGACGTTTCAATATTTTGCCACTAGACGTCTACTTCTGGCACCCAGAGGTGCCCATCCCCCCAAACCCTGAGGCAAGATCCCCCGCAAACTAAAGGAGTAGTTACCCTCCCAATTTATGCTACCCTCTATTTAAAACTACCCCCCCCCCTGCCAATTTCCCTCTCAATTTCTCCTTTACCACATACTTGAGGTAAAAAAAAACTTGCTGACAGTAAAAATGACATGTTTAATAGGAAACACCACACAACAATACAAAATTATATCTAACTAACTGGGTAATGGAATCTGTTGGCTGACAACATGTGCTTACTGACAATATGTATTGCAATAGACAACGTCCTCAAAACGTTTAACAATATACTAGGTGAATACTCTACCCTAACACAGTACTGTAACTGTACAATACATTAGGTGGCGTAAATTTGTACAGGGCATAAGCATTCAAACAACTTTAAGTGCATGAATAATACTTTGGTAAAACGTATCTTGTTTCAAAATTAGGCAGTCACGAAATAGGACAGACTAGGAGGGGTTGCTGGCCACTCTCAGGCCCAGGCTGCCTTCTACAAAAATACCTTTAACTGCCACCAGCACAAAAGGTTTTTGTGAAAAATTAATCTTATAATTAATTTTGATAGCGCCAGGATTTTGTTTCATATAATATGGAAATGCCCTTTGCTACGTCTGTCCCCCCCATCCAGTCATCACTATTTTTTATGGGGAAAAAAATATATAGGCCTTATATGATGTACAAAACCGTATAACTTATTTACCAAGAAAAGTAAAGAGAAATACAAAATAGCCTACAAGTAAAAGTAACATTTATTTGTGAAAGTGGAAGTGTTTGACCATTCAAATTAGCAGCAAATAGTTTTCTTCACTTCCTGCTAAAAAATTTTGGTACCGACCCAATCGGTAAAAAATTATTTCCACCCCAAAGGACAATGTTTTTGATGCAGAAGCCCATATATAAACCCTTACCAGTTAATACAAATTTAAAACAGTTTAATTAAAAGTCTAAGAAAAAAATTGGCAAAATAGTGATGAGTCTAAATATTATATTGTTGTCAGTTTTAAATTACCGGTACCCATCACCATGTGATGGCATCAGTTTAACAGTTGTAAACTGTTATAAAATTCATAGTTGTGAGGGCCTATACATTTTTATAAGTTAGAGAAACACTTTACTACCTACAAGCCCAAATTTTTTGAGGAAGAAGGTTAGGTACTAAAACATTTAGCAATGTTTGTATAAAGAAAACTGAGCATATAAGTTTGGTTGGTTTTACTAGGTTATTCCTAGTTTAGAACAGTTACATTTAAATATATTTTTTTAAATGATCGTTTGTTGATACTGAACAATATTTATTTATCGTAGCTGTCAGCTGATGTGTTTCAATTTGTTAAAACATGTTCGCGGCAGCATGGGAGCGTTCGCTCCCATACGGAACCCTAATGCCATCCTGGTGGGTGCGATCGCTCCCAAGCTGCAATGCAGTACGAAATGATTTATTTTTAAGCCAGGATTAGAGCTAGAAACTTGAAACCTCGCACAGCACTGCTTAATAGTATACTGTATTTTGTTGTGGTGGAGGTTGGTAGTAAATTTCCCCGTAAAATCCCCGTCCGGCAATCTCAAAAATCTACTTTTTGTCCCGTCTTTTTCCCTCCATTTGCAATACAATTCCAATGGGACCGGCTACGTTCCAAGCAGTGCTGCTTTCTGTGGATGTTTGGCGAACTACGTCGAATCTCGTTGTAAAGCAGGACATCCTCACACATTATTTGCTATTCGTCAGAACGAAATTGTAAAGCCAATCACACGCAGCAATCGGGTTTGTTTGACGCTGAGGGCTGCGCCGCACTGGGGATACGCCCGCCATTTGACGTGCCGCGTACGTGTTAATATCAATATATCGAGAAAAAAATCATCGATAATAATAAATGTTCCCTTTAACAAGAAAGTACCGCCTAAACTTTCAGTATAAGTTAAGCACAACTTGAGCTTGCAGTGCAAAAAAATTGCCTAGTACTTAAATGAACTGAGAACTGAGAATCTAATCATAAAAAAGTAGCTTGTCGAGTCGATTCAATACCCGGCTTTTAACTTCCTTGGTATCTTTCAAGTAGGCCCTAACTTAAAGTAAGCCCGACATGTCAAACCACTAGTGCCACAACAACACTTAACTAAAACACTAACTTACTGCAGCTTTTTGGCAAGAACTTGACTCCAGCTTCCAGGAGCAGCACAGAGGTCCACTGCTTTATTTACACCTGTAAAATTAGAGTTTAGGTTGTTTCAAATTATCATTTTAAACATTAAGGCCTATCAACTTTGTAGATTATCCTTAAAACTGAAAAAAAACTAGATATCACTAGATTTTCCCTAGATATCATCGACCAGAGTTTCAAATTTTGTATCTTAAATGTGAAGCAATTCTGCTTAAACCTCGACTCTGAACTGGTAGAAATTTACGTACCAAGTCTGAATGTGACTGTCATATGTGTTTATCATTCACCAAGTGGGAATTTCAAACTCTTGTGAACTCAATCAATCAATCAAGAAATTTATTTACACAATAATTAGCAATACATAGGATACAAAAGTGCAAAAACCACAAATAGTTTGTCTGCACTAAAAATATTGTTTCTTATTTACAATACAGTTTTGTCAGTTTGAATCAGTAGCATGCAGTTTTATGTGTCCTTAATTGTCTCTTGAGTAATTAATAACACTATTGGAGAGATGTCTGACTTCCCTGGAGAACAATTTTTCAAACTTGGTTTTGATGGGTGATATTAATGTTACCAACGAGGGGCCACTCGTGCATTGACAACATAGCAGTAAATCTGAATACCTGGGAATTACCGAGGCAGAGGTCAAAGTCTGGCCTTGACTGGTATAGTCCCGAGTTGTCTAGGCTAAAACAGCACATGCTCGCCCTGTAGGATAGGTTTTGCGAGACCAACCAAGCGGCGGACAAGGCAGCTTACCTAAACTCCAAAAAAGTCTACAAGCAAAAGATTGTGGAAGCCAAGAAAGAGGCAAATGTAAATCTGATGGTTTCAGCCAAAAATCAATGTAAGGCAGCTTGGGATGTGGTCAAAACGGCCACAAGAAACAGTCGGGCGATACAAAAACCCCTACATAATCCAGACCAATTTAATAGATTTTTTATTGACTCTGTGAATAGTATTGTAGCCGGTCTGAAATCTTCAGATCATAATGATATATTGCTGAATGTTGAGGTGAGTACCCAAATTACATCGTGGCAGCCTACTACCCCAACCGAGATTGAGAAAATTGTTGCTAGCTTTAAGAATTCAAACAGCCCTGATTTTTACGGTATGTCTACAACTTGATTGAAACGAGTGATAGGAAAACTTTCTCAAACCTCTATCGCTGGTCCTGAACAACTTTTTGAAGAGAGGTGTTTTTCCTCCCAGCATGAAAATCGCTAGAACTGTCCCCATCTACAAGAAACGGGAGAGAGATAGGCTATGGACAGCTACAGGCTCGTTTCTATCTTACCAGTCTTCGGTAAAGTTGTCGAGGCTCTGATGACTTAGCAGCTCTGTGAACACCTGGAGTCATATAACTTTCTGACGGATGGTCAATTTGGATTCCATAAGGGCTGAACCACAACAGGGGCGGTAATGAGGCTTGCAGGTTTGGTTGGCGAGGTATTTGAGGCTTGTAACACAGTCACCCTCACATTGTGCGATCTAAGCCGCACATTCGATTGCGCTAACCATACCCTACTGGTTAAGAAGTTGGAGAGTCATGGAGTAGGTGGCACTGTCCTCAAGACAATTGAATCATATCTTTTGGGTGGACAGCAGGTGGTCTCCATTGAGGGGACAATTTCAGCACCTCTAGAGGTAGCTTATGGAGTCCCGCAAGGATCTGTCATTGGGCCACTTCTCTTCCTATAGTCCTCGCCACCCTAACTTGAGGCAGCCTAAGGCCGCACGCCTTATATCTAGTGCGGCCTTGTGCTGCTTCAAGTTAGGGTGGCGAGGACTACAGTCATGATTAATGACCTTGACAAGACTGGAAATGTTGTATTGTTTCCGGAAGATACCACCCTTGTGTCACGAGGACTGCATGTTGATCAGTCTGTAGCAGGAGCGGAGCAAAACTTACTAGAAGCCTCGAACTGGTTTGAGGCCAATGGCTTCCAGCTGAACCAAACTAAAACACAGTCTCTTGTCTGCAGGCTAGCCAAACCTGCTCCTCCGAATGATCCGGGGAAGTGTTTGGGATTCACACTCGACCAAAAACTAACCTGGAGTGACCATATAGACCAAGTTTGCAGTAAACTATCGAGGGTATGCTTCCTGCTTCTGAAACTGAGTTATCTGGTCACAGAGAAATAACTGTTGAGCGTGTATTTCAGTGTGCAATTTTTCATTGCCATGTGAGCTATGGTATTTTGCTGTAGGGAAACGCACCAATGACCGAAGAAATATTGATCCTGCAAAAGAGAGCTCTGAGAATAATCACCTACAGCGATGATTTGGCTCACTGCAAGCCTATATTTGCCGGGCTGGGCATACTTACAGTGTTTATGTAGTCACTACTTAGGCTATATCCTCGCCTGCATAAAATACCCGTTAGACAATATTGAGGAGTTTCCTACCAGAGCAGCAACACATCAACATCTTAAGTTACTAGGCATTGTACCCGACTAGATGTCCCTAGAGTTAGGCTGTCAAGGACTTAGAAGGCCTTCAGTAATGGAGCAATAAATATATAGGCTACAATAAGTTGCCAAACTCTATCCTGCACCTTGAAAAAAGGAAACTCCTTAAGATGGTTACAGCGTATCTCAAATACAAAGCCTACTACTCTCGCTGAAGGAGTACTTTGAAGACCCGCTATTAGGCCTAGGCGGCCTAAGCCCAGCCATCAAAACTGGCTGGCCTGGCTGTATGCCTGTCCACAGCCGCCTCAGTTTAAATTATATGTTAATTGTATGTTGTATAGGTATGTGTAAATAATTGATTTTACTTATGTTTTAATGACGCTCCCCCATGGGGTAAAAGATGAAGAATCGGTAATAAGGTAATCGGTAAGTTACATCGATGGTTGACTTATAACATAATTTTCCTAAGCCTACCCATCTCAGATGGCAACTTTGTTTGTGAAATTAAGCTACCCTAAAAGCTAAATGGTTAGGCTAATTAAATTAACTTACTGTAAAACTCACCATCAAATATCTTAAATTGTTCGTCAATTTGTAATAGTTTAAAGGCACTTCTTGCTCTCCAGCCTTGTTCTTTAGCCAATCTATAGTAAATGTCACGTTTATCTTTTGATGATTTACCCATAATTATTTAACGTAGGCTAGGCCTTGTAGAAAATATTTTCTTCTAATCTCAAAACAGACTTTTTATGTCTCATGAAAAGTTGAACTTTATAATGTGCTAGGCCTAGTTGGTATTTCAATAACTGTCATAACCTCAAAAGGCATCGAGAAAAATCAAAACAGAAGAGGAAGAGAAGTTGTTTGTAAGTTTGGTTTGTTTATGTGTCAAGGAAGGAGGGTTTCCATGAATTCCACCTGGTTCTCAGATGAAAAACAGATTACAAGACGACATGTTTTTCTACTTCTCTTTCTTCCTTTTATTTAAGGTATGACATTTTCGCTTATTATACCATATACGGTGATTATTATACCATATACGGTGATAATAATATTGTCTACGGAACGAGACTCTGGGGTCACTCGCCTAAAGTCAACAAAATTCTGGTTCTGCAAAAGAAAGCGATGAGGGTACTTAGTGGAGCCCAGGATCTCGCGCACTCCAAACCACTGTTTCTCCAAAACAAAGTCATGACTGTATATAATGTATATATTTTTCAATGTCTCCTAGAAATTAAGTCCAATGAAATATACCTACCTAGAAATCAGCATGTACATAGCCATAACACTAGAAATAGGTTTGATATTTTCACTGTAAGGCACAGACTGAGTAAATCAATTAATTGTTTTCCTGTTACAGGTTGCAAGTATTTTAACCATCTGCCTCTTGAAGTGAGGCGTTTGCCTTTACAAAAATTCAAAGCCTTTCTAAATAATTGGCTCCTAGAAACACCTTTATTTGACTCTAGTGAGTTTCTTAAGACAGAGGTCCACCTGTAATTAGGTAATGCATGGTGTGTGCTTTTTTTTAACTGCTTTTTGATTTTATTTTCTCCAAATGTGCATGGTTTTAATCTGATTTATTTAACTTTTTATTTTGTATGCTATTTGACTTAAACTAAGCATGGTTTGATTTGATTGTTAACCAATCTCTGATGATGGTTTATTTTTATTTACTGAATTATGTATTGACATAGCCTATTATGTAATGTTTAATGGCCAAATAAACAATTTGAATTTTGAATTTGAATTTGAATTTATAGTCAATGGACAATGATACTACTGTAGTAATAAAGTTACTATTTCAATACTAGGAAGAAACAAGTATATTTATTTTAAAGTCTAATGAATTCTCTTGCCAAGCACACTTTTCTGATTGAACCTCTCTAATGATTGACAAAATGATGCTTTCCGACTTAGATACAGTACCGGTATCGAAAACGACGACTTGTGTTTGCTGGCCACCGCCTTCCATTCGCCGCAAAGAGGAAGGAAACCACCACTTGACGCGTCGAATGAGCTTGCCGCGGACTTCAGTTTCAATTCGATTTCGTCCGAGCACACGAACTCCCCGCTGGTTCTCTCTTTATGTCTTGAAGTATGTTTGTGGATCTTACCAGGCCGGAGAGGGATGCTTTTTTGTCACAAACCTCCGGATGTCTCATTCCAGGGTAAGTAACTGTTTATGTACATTTTTAAAACTCTGAATAACTTAACTACATCTGAGGAGTGTTTCACTAGCTATATTGAATATTAGTTTGCTCTGCACACGTCTTACAAGCTTCACTGTTTTTATTTTAAGAGTATGATATTATTTTAGTAATATTTTTAAATATTACATTCAATGACACCGTTATAATCGCCTGTTACAAATTTGTCGTTGTCCATAACCTTAAATTGGTAGTGTTTGGAGTGCTAACATTTACAAAATTCTGTTTGTAAAAAAAAAAAATCACTTTCTCCCTTCCCCGTAGTAGCAAACCTAATGCTATTAAATGGCAATAAATATGGCTTATTTATGAACTTTATGAAAATATGTCAGTTAAAATCCAATCATACAAACCAATACCAGCACCAAACAAGAAATAAATTTTTTTTTGGAATTTCTTTTTGTCAGTTGTTTATCGCTTAGTCTAACTTACAGGTTTGCTGTAAGGAAGATAAATTGTAATTGAATATAATATGTAACTATAAAATCGCATAAAGCGTTTCTATCAATACCAGGTAGAAAACAAGAGGGTTTAACAGTTTTCATTAATATTCACACTACCTCTTTACCAATAATACATCCTATAGCTACTCTACGAGCTATGTTTGTTAGTTTGTCTGTCTGTAATATTTATCTCAAAATCTACTGAAGGACTTTGACAACATAATTGGAATTAGGGACTTATATGCCTAAAAACGCGATTAAAGTTTTTATCGTGGTATTCCTTCTATGGTGCGATTGAGTTTACATATTATTCTATCAGAATCAGCGGGTTTATTGATGATAGTAGTCATAGTTTAGTTTGGACCACACTCAAGTATTCATAAGCTTCTCCATCCACATTTCCAAATATTTAATTGATGATATTATTAAATTTTTCATTCAATGGATACATTATCAAGTTGTTTGAAAAACATTTAAACGTTTTTGATGTTTATAAAAAAAAAAAAAAAAAAAAAAAAACTAATCATAGATTGATTTCCAAAGCCTTTGTCACTAGTTAGGGTTCCATTTCCCAGGTTCCCTAGCCAATCACGAAATTTCTGTTGATCAGCATTGACGTGCATATTTTCGGTTAGTTTAAGAAACGGGAAGAAACGTAAACTATCCAGGTTTAACTGTTATTGATGGATGCTCCCTTTACACACAATGCATCCTATGGTATATTATTTGAATCTATTTTCGCTTGAAACAACAGGCAGTACATGATTAAAATCTCCTCAAAACAGTATTATTTTCCCACCCATCAGAACTTGTCATAGTAATTACTTAATGAAAAAATATATTGCCTACAATACCCATTTAATTTTTATTCCCAGATAAAAAAAAACATTTATGTTAATCTACGTCATACACATTATTGATTAAACACTACAATAATCGTCAAATGTAAATAAATATACAAACATATAAATCTCCACCATAATGTTACGAAAAAAACTCGCTAAAAACCGGTAAACAAAGCAGAAGATTTCCATTTAATTTTAAATCGTTGATTATTATACTGTATTTCATATACTAGGTGTACAATGCAGTTGTCTGATTGCAATATTGAGCGGAGCCAGCATTTTAGTTCAATGTCAATGATATATTTGGTTCGCATTTTAAATAGTATGCCTATTTGCAGTAGGTATCCAAAGTCAATCATAAGTCAGGATTAAGTGAATGAATTGTCTACCTGCATGAACCATATTCTATTTTTCATCTGGTTCTCATAAATTAAATGTCTACTTGCAGTATGCAATGCCAATTATATATTTGGTTCGCATAAATGGAATGCCTATTTACAGATTCTAAAGTCAATGGTACGTCTGACGTAAGACGGATTGTTTACTTGTAGTATCCAAACTCAATGGTACATGCAAATGAATAGTCTACCTGCAGTATCCTAAATCAATGGTCCATTTATTTTGTTCACATAAAAAAAACGCCTAATTGCAGTATCCGAAGTCAATGGTAGGCTTAGGCCTACTTCTGCTTCACTTATATGGGATGTCTATGTGCAGTATTCAAAGTCAATGATACGTCGGGTTCACGTCATCAAATTGTCTAATTGCAGCGAAACTATGAGTCTTATATTTGGTTCACCTTAATGGAATTCCTATTTGTAGACTGCATTCCTATTTATATCCTGTATATCCTATCTATACTTCTCCACGCAACCACAGAAAACATACTACTATAACCGAGTATGTTTTCTGTGACGCAACATAGGCTTAGGCCTAATTAGTTGACTATTCATTGTTGTTAAAAAGAACAGAACGATTATACGCATGATTTTAGCGAATTTCCCTATAGGGAAGTAGCTATTACCGTAGGTCTCATGGTAAGACCTAAGCCCGGGACCGATTTACTTTTTCATTTTGATGTCCCCAGAGGCCAAAAACACCATTCGTTCAAATTTTTATATATCTATATATATATATATATAGACGTTTTCACAGAACTTCGGCGTCACGGGCGATTATACCATGACTTCAAAATGCTAAAAGTTTGGATCGAAAATGGTATGATTTCGTTGCGAAAATCCAGAAGTTTGAAGTCATACCTATTTGCTCATAATTGTTAACGGGATTATTAAGTCCTCGCTTACATTGCACATAATCACTAAATCTACTTTTTAAATACCTATATTTTCAAGAAATATAAACATTTATTATGTTAACCTTTTTATAAGCCAATTTGTATTATTTGGTCTTGAAGACTGTTTGTACGAGCATATACTTAAAACATGTTTACCACAAGTCAACGTACCTCCATTGTCTTTAGATTTAAAATGCTATGGTGAACGGTTATGTGTACTAATATTATCATTATTGATTATTTATTTTCTAAATTAATTGATATGTGAAGTCGTATAAGAAGGCATATGTTTTGCGACACATTTTTACCGTTTGGGGTTAATTTTTTAGCCAAGTATTGGTCTACTTAAAATTTTTTTTTTCATATTACCGTTGATTGTTCTGTTGGTTGGTAGTAACTGGAAAATGCAAGAACTTATTTGCCGGGAAGCAAGCATTCAGAGCAGGCGACTATTTGGAGGTCAAAGGCCGTTCCGTGTCATTTATTATCAAACGCTAGAAATCAGTTAAGTTAGGTTAGGTTAGTTTAGTAAGTTATTTTATGTATCCAGTAAAAATATTTGGATTATAAATACTGCTACATGTGCCTAAACTAACCTAACCTAGTAGTAACAGGACAATGCTGGAATGTTTTGCCATAATGAAATTATTTGGAGTATAGGTTAGGTTAGGTTATTTTAGTCAGTTATTTTATGTTTCCGGCAAAAAAATAGGGTTAAAAACTGCTAGATATGCCTAACCTAACCTAGTAGTAAAAGGAAAATGCGAGAATGTTTTGCCGGAAAGATAGTATTTGGAGGTTAGGTTAGGTAAGTTTAGTCAGTTATTTTATGTTTCCGGCAAAACCATTAGCGTTTAAAATAGTGCTAGATATGCCTATAAGCGAACCTAACTTAAAAAACCTAACCTAACCTAGCCTAACTAAACCAAACCAAACCTAACCTAACTGATTTGTAGCTGCTAATAATGAATGACAACGTGGAACGCCCTTTGACTTTCAATAATCAATTAGTCAATTAGTCACCTGCTCCGAATACTTGCTTTCCCGCAAAAAGTTTTTTTTTCAGTTTCTACTTACCAACAGAACAATCAATGAGTATGAAACATAATAAAGGCTATATCGCAACGTTGGATTTATGCATTATATAAAATTGTTCTCCTTTTAAATAAATTACAGTATGTGTATGACATCTTTGCACTCCGGAATTAAAGTGTAGCATAATCAAATCAATAGCTGCAGTTTTTAGCTTTTAGCTTTGGAAGACATCTGAAGCGAAAATTCATACATAATCTGCAAGAGAGAGAAGCTACAACTGATCGTAAGGAAACTTTAAATTGATACTTTTCGGTGTCATTGGTTGCAATATAAGCTATAATTGTCTATAAATTATTTATATTAACTTTTGATTGAAGGCATAACCTAAAAAACTCTATGAGTTTTGTAATTAAGAAAATAATTATTCTTTGTAGTTTAGCGAAAAGTGACGTTCAAAACACGAGTAAAATTTGGTATATACATATTCTCGACCCGATAAATCTCGCACTTCAAACAAGGTCTCAAATATGAAATGACTCATTTTCCACTCTTGCTATTAAATATACTTTTCTGCGAATCATGTTCAACAAAATAAATAACTGACGTCATTGTGATGCATACAATTATAGAAGACTAACAGCATTTTGGCGTCATAATTGCACTCTGGTTTCAAAGAACTGTGAAACGTTTTGAAAATTTGCAGCACTGTGGCGTCATTTATCGATTTATGCCCTATTAAGGAATTGGGATTTTATCGTAAGCAATGTGTTATCCATCATAAAACATTCTCGAGTTACTTACCACATACAAAATCCTATACTCTAAAACAAGCAAGTTGACGGACACATTTTTTTCGTACTACGATATTTGATTTTTTTTTTGTTTAAAATGAGTATTTGACCACGAAAAACCTATTGGAGTTGTTCACATGGCTGGGAAAATCAATTTACCGTCATACAGCCCTTTAAAAGTGCCCATGTTATCGTCAACACCTTTTTGTACCAATATAATTGCACTCTGTGTATTATACAATCTGTATAAGCATACACAAATTTCTAAGTTTTGCGGAAAATAATAGAAATTGTACCGCATATCAGCGTCAATATTGCTATCTACCTCAATTAGCCGAGTACTCGCTCAGCATTTTGGTGTCATTAGTTTTATTTATAGCCCATACTTATTTGTTTTTAATATAAATCATTCAATAAATCTATAAATGTATGTCTATGGTACATATTCTACGAAAAAATTAAATACAACTGCTGACTTCAATGTGCTGCGTAAATTTTACAAATCTTACAGCATTTTGGAGTCATAATTGCTCTCTGTATATACATTCTTTTC